GGGAGTTCTAGCTGCAGCAGATGCTGAAAAATCCGCACCAGCTGGTAATGTTCTTATTCCATTCATTTTTCAGCCTTTCATGTCTGCAAAGATAAATGAGCATGATGGATGGTCTCGGACGAATTTTTACTGAAATCATCAAATCTCATTCTCTAAGATATATCTTACATACGAGCATACATGTCTGGTCTTTATTTGTTGAAGAACCCAATTATACGTGTAGAATTTGAATGTAGATTTTTTCGACAATTGAAAATTAAATCAGGGAACACAAGCTGGAGTGGTTTCTCATCAATTTTCCGGGGAAGTGATGGCCAGGCATCTGCGAAAAACAACTTATTAAACAAACCACTCAGCGAAGCTACTCAAGATGTGTATCAGAACTTGTCGACGATCTATTTGAAAGAGGTTTACATCTTGTGCATTCTCAATTTCTCATGCTCCTCATATTGCAAATACTTTACTCACCGATTCACCTCATAACGTTTTGTTTTTTTGAAGCCCCCAACTGTTCTGAAGTCATCTGAAAATCATTCAGAACAAGAGGCAGTTGAGATTAAGATAACAAAGTTATTATTGAAATCTTACTATGACATTGTGAGGAAGAATGTCGAGGACTTGGTCCCAAAAGCAATCATGCATTTTCTGGTTAGTGTCCCCTCCTTTTTCTTCAAAAACTATAATGTTCACATTGTGGTATTACTTGAATCGAAAAGGTTCTTTGCGTGGATGTCATAGACCCTTGTTATAATAAAGGATGAAAAGTGGAGAAAGATTGCGTTAGTGTCTGTCGATATTCTACTTGACCTGAAGTTATTCAATTGTAAGGGAACTGTTGATAACTATTCTATGTAATTGGAAATAAACACAGGTGAATTACTCGAAACGTGAGCTGCACAATGTTTTCATCGAGAAGCTTTACAGGTGATGAAAGAAACATCTGATGACTTTTGCGTGATGTTGTGAATAGTCTATTTCTAATGAACTAACTTTAATGGGATGGGACAGGGAGAATTTGATTGAAGAGCTGTTGAAAGAGCCCGATGAGATAGCGATAAAGAGGAAACGCGCACGGGAGACTCTTCACATTCTACAACAGGCTAATAGGGTAAAGTTTCAAAAGATTGGTCTTAAATTGTAAATGTAACTTGTTATTAAATATGTTTTCACCATTTTACTTGGTTGAAAACAGACACTAGACGAGCTGCCGTTGGAAGCGGAATCGGTTGAGAGAGGATACAGAACCGGTCCTGAACCGAAACACGAGGAGCTACCGAGTTCAAGAAGATCAAGAACAGATTCTAATGGGTACGGACGCATCCACATGTAAATTTTGTTCAAATTCTGATTTACACACGCTTAAGTCTCTCAATTCATTTGCTGATGGGAAGATTTATTTTTCTTCCCTTAGAATCTGTGGGCGGGAAAAGATATTTTAGGGTATAGCTAAACATGATAAAAACAAGAAAAAGAAAATGGTCTCTTAGGTTATATTTGTTTCTCGGAGTCAACCACGGATTCTGACAAGAATAATCAAATCCTAATTCATTTCAATCTTCAACGTTTTGATTTTTTTTTTTGAAGAGAATGTAAAATTATATTCATCACCAAAAAAAACAGCTGTCCTTTTTTACATTAGATGCAAAAAAAATAAAATTTTGAAAGAAAGGTAGTTTTGAATGTTAAGCCTCCAAAGCTGCAAGCCAGGTGACTAGTGCCTCATTGTAGCGAGGTTGCAGAGTTCGAATCGAGTGTATCCGATTCTTCACTGTACGATCAATCAGTCTGCTCAAGGTCTGCGCTGTGTGATGGGGTTCGCCATGACGTCGCCCATTTCTTTCCTTCTAAATCGAGTGTATCCGATTTTTTTATAAATGTTTTGAGATTTTTTTTCTCTGTTTCACACGAACGTTTTCAAATTATTGTAGAAAACTATTGTTTTCTGTTTTGTTGCTTTTTGTCTATATTTTGTTCAGAGAACGTCTAAAAATTTTTTGAAACTAAACTGTTAAACTGATTCCCACCTGATCTTTTCTAAGAATCATTTAGTCGCTAGAGCTGAACCAAAAGACCTGGGAAGTCGAGAAGAACCAAAACCAAAATTGCTCTAAACCAAGCTCTAACTAGGTTTAGAACGGAACTGGATATCCAAACTTTTCAAGGTGTCCGGATCCGGATCTGTCGGATAATCAAGTTTACTATCCGGATCTAGATCCGAAAATTTCGGATATCTGGTTTGAACCGAATATTTACAGATATTCGGTTTCATTGATTTAAAAAAAAATCTTCAGTTTTTTAAAATTATAATGAGATAACATAAATAATTAATCATAGCAAAAATTACAAATAACAACAACTAAAAAAAGTATTCAAATAGCACAAAGTTTAAAAGTTTACATAGCAAAGGAGAAAATAGTAATAGAGAAGTTAATTTATCTTCATGTCCATGTGCTATCCATTTTTATGTTCTTTTCTTACAATTTGAAATAGAAAATTATCATGCAATATGAATTTCAATCATATGTAAAAGAGTTAAACCAAAAACAATTTTCAAACATAATTAAAACCAAAAATGAATGCATGTCCAAAGATTTCTAAACTGATTTTTACCTCATCCAAACTTCACATTCAATATGATCATGGCTGCAAATTCAATATGCCCACTTCTGTAAATGATAATAATCATTAGTATTTAAAACAATAAAAAAATATCATAAGCTAAAAGATAAAAAACAAAGCATAAATACATGATTTGATATTCTCAAGTTCAGCAAGCAATTCTTCTACTCTTAAATCTTCTTCATCATCACGATACCAATCTTGGATACAAATAAGAGCTTCCACGGTTTTCGGTGTCAAAGAACTACGAAAACGATCTAGCACCCGAGTACGAGTACCTGTGTTAAAGAACTACGAAAACGATCTAGCACCCGAGTACGAGTACCTGTGTTAAAGAACTACGAAAATGATCTAACTTCCACGGTTCTTGGTGTTAAATTAATTGTTAAGCACAAATTTTTTTTTTAAATATAAATAAATATTATTAAAAATAAATAAATATTTAACAAATTGATAACGGATAATAGATATCCGGTTTCAAAATTTTCTATTATCAGGATCCGTATCCGAAATAACCGAATACTTAATTTCACTATTCAGATCCGAACTACAAAGATATTCAGTTTTTAAGAATTGGATAGAACTGGATACTCGATCGGAGATCGGATACCAGATAATAATTCCAAGCCTAGCTCTAACCAGCAGCAGCACCGGCAGAAACGAACTCAAAACCAAATATCAATTAAATTAAATTAAATTATAAGATCTCGTGGAGTAATCCTATTTGACCACCAGAGCCAATAACTTCTCCAAACAGGATTAATCGAAACTACATACAGTACATAAGAGGTCGAACCCTTAACCCCAGCGTGGAATAACTACTAACTCATAAGATCTCTTTTGTCAAGCCAAAGATAACTTCATGGAAGAGAAAAAATTAAATTTTATACATAATAATGTGTTTTGTGTACAATATATAAAAAAACTAACAACACTCTAACAAACATACACAAGGATTAAAATGATATGGTATTTGTAAATTTTGAATATAACGCTTTTTATTGTTGTACATGTTGGTCTCATTACCACAAGGATGTCTCACAATAACAAACCCGAAGATTCACTCACCGTCATTCATAGAATAATGCATTCACTTGTGATGCTTGTGGGCTTGTCGATGAGAAGCAGGTAAATATGTTTGCTATGCGATTTCTGTCCACAGAAAATGAATTTTCTTAGCAAAAATATTAAAATCACACGTCACTCACTATATCTTGCACACTCTTTGTATCACTAATGGATACTTGAGATGTAGAATTTGCAGGGACAAGTACGAGAATCTCAAAATTGGCTATGGAGGATATATTTGTATTGAAAAGTCATGTGAACGTTGAAAAAAGTGTGGGATGCGCCAGAGTTGTCGAAAGAGAACATGAAGAAGAAAGTAACTCTGAAGCTGATATATATTGCGGTTTTGATGGATATAGGTGGTAAATACATATGCCATTTTTACCATGATCATGACATGTATGTCAAGCATGCATGATGCTCCTTCCAATTGAATATGGTTATTTCTTGGATTGCACGCAATACAATTTTATGCATATGCGAGTCTTCGTCGGAAGATGGAAAACCCTTTGCAACATCATCTGCTAACCTTAGGAATCGACATAATGAACATCGAAGGGGGATTCTTCACTTGCTCTACTTGTCAACGACAATCGTTGAATTTATGTATCAGTGTAGCCAAGTTGGATTGTGGGTTCAAGTTAGATGTAAGATGTGCTTCCTTTTCTGGAGCCATTGAACCATGCAGCCCACCCTGCACACCATCTCTTTCTTACACAAAATACTGAACAGTCACTATATTGGTCTGTGTGATCAACTTTCAACGACAATGGTTAATTGTGAGACATGCTTCTGCGTTTTGGAGTTCAAATGTGTAACTTTAGCAAGCATGACGTTCACCCATCGTCACTCACTTTTTATCGTAGGGAGTATCGACAGTCGTACTATTGGTGGTGTGAGGTAAGCAAAGAAAAAGTAGATGAAAAATAGTTGTTCTATGTTCCATAGATTGTATTCATTCTTATACTAAACTTGTTTAAAATCTCGGGAATGTGATTATTAAGTCGAATATTGGAACAGAAGCATATATCTCCGGCACAGAGGCATATACCTGTTCCACTATTTATTTACTGAGATTTGTTAATTTTTTTACTAAACTTGGTTAAAATCTCAATAGCTCCTTCCAATTCAAACGGTGTAATTAGTAAGTCGAGAATCTTAGGCGACATTCAATTCAAGAACATAGTAGGAGTCGCACGGATACTCCCTAGATATAATTCTAGTTCTTACTTTAGCAATACTAGGCAAAGCTTGATTAAATAAAGCCCTTGAGATGCCTACAATATGAGTATCACAACCCACGAATAGAGCCATTCTTTTTCAAGTGGAAACCATTTTTTTTTCAAGTGAAAAGCCGATATTCTCACCTTGCGGCCTAGACGGCGTATCAACCAGTATGGTACACTGCAGTTCAATACAAATCTTCACGAATCCATATAAATAATCGTCCATTAAAACAATACACAACAATGGTGTGTCCAATCGATCAGAACTATGGAGCAAAGTCAGTCTTTGTCGGTCTCAGATGATGCAGCCTTTCCAGAATACTTGTTGCGCCAAACATGTTTATTCTTCTCGATAGTGTTATGATTTTGAGAAAATTCAGTAAGCCCTTGTCTTAATGCTCCAAGTGTAACCCCATTACCCACCAAGATGCTTGTCACTCCCATTTTTGAAACCTGTTTATACACACAGAGCAAAGATTCAATCTTAGTTCACAAAGTAAAGAAAACAATCCCGCCTATTAAGCTTAATTAGCACAAAGCAGTATGTGTTAACTGATTTAATGTTCCTGTCTTCATCATCGAAGAAGAGCATCGCAGTAAAAGGCACTGTTGTCCTTGTGTGTATCTTCTGAAAATGTTCTGTCTTGTGAGTCCAACTTGAGAATATTTCCTGAAACAATCCCAAAAGGAATCAGATTTATAAAGACAACAGTTTCCGATACATTTCATCACTTGAATCACGGATTTAGCTAACATGTTTAAACAAGAAGGAACATGTTTAAAACGAACCTTGGCGACAAACATGGACTTAATGTTCAATTTGTCAATGAATGTGTTAGCTATATCTGAAGTTGGAGATCTCGAAGCAATCGCCATTTCAATTCCTTTCTCTTTCAGAGCACTCAATATACCCTTTGCTTGTGGATACAAAGACGGCATTTCGCGTTTTGAGCGGCATTCGCTGAAGTAAAGTTACAAATCAATAAAGAAATTATCAATACAAACAAACTCTGTGATCATCACTTTTGCAGATTGTTCCTCATACCAAAATGTTCGATTGAAATAGACCCCCACTCAAAATTGACAATTGAGACTAAATTACAATCTATTGGACACTTTTTCTGCTTCTATGAAAGGCTATAAACTCAAACCCTAATACAGTTCCGCTACCAGTGGAGATTTTCGTTGATAAATCAAAGAAATTCACAAAAATTGGGGATGGGAAATGGAGGAAACAGAAACATTACCAGTAAAAAGGCCAGAGAGTATAATCGAGATCAAAGACGACAAGTCTCGGGAGAATTTGAAACATTCCTATTATTTGCATCGCTTCATCTTTTACCTTCTCTTCGGTCATCTTTCGGACCGGAGAGAAACGATCGGAGATCGAGAGAGAGAGAGAGACTTTTTTTTTACAATCGAGACCCTACCTTTTTTTTGTCGGAAAAGTGAAAATTACAATCATACATATTTGTTTTGTTAAAGGATCTATATATATTTTTTTTTTAACGTCAGGATCTATATTTCTATATATAAAAAATCGACAAAAAATTAATAAAATAAAAAGAGAGTTTATTTAAGTTTCATTACCTTTTTAATATTTTAGATATCTTATATTATATTGTTTGTTCAAAGATTCAAAATTTATTAATATTTTATCTAAATATAGACTGTTATTTCTTAACTTTAGTTTTTTCAATATTAATTTGATTTTTTTAAAACTAATTCAATTTTTTTTTAAAGTTGGAGATTTTCTGAAAATTTTTTATTTAAATATTAATATTTTATTATTGAAAAATTGATAACTATTATAAAACTAAACACTATTTAAAGACATCTAGAGTTCTGTATATGATTCACAGTGGAAGATTTAAAACAAGTAAATAAAATAGTTGGAGTATTTTTTCTCGATAAAAAAAATTATATTAAAAAGTTTATCCTAATTTAGTTGAGATATTTTTCTAAAAAGTTTTTTTTTTTGTGTTAAGTGCTAATCTATGCAAATATGTTTAATAAAAATGTAAGAGAGATATAAGGAATCAAAAAGAACCTAACAGATTCTCAAACAGGTCTGATGCCATACGTGATGAGATGGGTGGTGTGAAGACAATTGGAGGGGCTCGTCTTGTCTACACAAAAAGATGAATTGGTGAAATGGATCGAGATGGAGTAAAGACAATTGACCGATGGGTTCTCCTTGTCTTTACCACGAGGTGAGATGGATTGACAAACACATGATAGAGTGAATAGATGCCACATGGGGATGATAGACCTGTAATAAGTCTGGTGAAACACTAAACAGAGGGGAATCCACAGAGAGCATAAATATCTTGTTATTCTTAAGAGACAAGATTTTGAAAGAAAGTTTGATTTTTATTGATAATGGCAAAAAAGGTGTTTGTATAAAGCTACATGTGAAATTTTATAAACAGTCTGTCAGTTGTGAATCTTCTAGGTTTTGACTCTATACAAAAGAAATAAATAAAACGACACTTAAGCTTATATTAAAAAAGAAATGAAAGTACAATTCGCTTATATTAAGACAAATGCATAGAAATAAGTAACTATAAGGATTAAATAACAAATCCTACAAAACAAACAAAGAAACTTGTTAGGAATTCAAATTAAAATACTCACTTTGTCTTAAGAAAGGCGTCTAGGTGCGTCCTTTAAATCGGAGATATCGTGAAGACACAAGTTTTCTTATTTGATGTGATGTAGGGCCAAGGCGGGATGTAGAGTGTCTTAAAGCTTTCTTGGGCTCTTGATGGGTTCTTGTAGTTGTGTACAGCTGAGGCCACGCAGACCAGGGCTTGACTTGGTGTTGGGCTTTGTTCGGCCGGTGTTTCCTCCTCGTTAAGCTCGGCCGAGTTGGTTTCAAGGCTCTCCAACATATCTCTTGAATTTCCACGCTCGTTCTCCAAAGTCTCACGCTCGATCTCCTTAGAATGTATTATTGGTCGGTATTAAACAAAGCTCACATCATTTTCTTGCACCAGTATTGATTTGGCATTTCCTTTGGTCTCTTGATCGATGTTGATCATTTGATCGACTTCTGCATGGCCCAATACTTCCATTTGTTGAAGAAGGCTCCGGGTCGTTTCTCATGAGCTGCTTTAGTCCTTGACCGTGTGCGGGTAGCCTCCCTCATGACTGCCACCGTGATGTGTCGGTCTGATTCTTCTTCAGCTTCATCACCTTCGGGGTTGGTGTCCTCATCACTACTTATCCTAAAAGCACAAGGGGTGCGGTTAGGAACAAGAACCTGAAGCACAATTGTCAATCAAACCAAATTAATTAGAGCAAAAACTAGAAGATTGGACTATAAGAGAGAGGAAAAATGATACAAGAAGAGGACAATTTCAGTACTCGAAAACTTTATTTTACAATTGGTCCAAACTCAAAACACTTGTATTATTTGTACCATATTTCTGTAGTCTGAGTTCGAAATCATGTTCTTATTACTCTTTTTAATTCACCCCAGACTGAATACATTCATCCAGAGTCACCCATTATTCAATACATATACATATTTTCTTTTTTAAACTCTCGATCATTTGCCATGATCAAAGACAAACGAGATCTAAACCAATCTAAACCATAATAAATCGATTACTGATCTTTTGCATCAGTATTAGTGGACGACTATCAAAGTTTTATTTGGTTTAGACTTTAGACTTAATCGAGCAAGCTGCGGAAGTACGGATGTTGTTATTGTTTGAATGCTCAAGATCAAGGTTTATAAAAGATCTTCTTTTCTTGCTCTAGGAAAATAACTCAAAACCTAAAGCCCTTAATCTCATAAGTTGTGCTACAACTCAGCACCTCCTTATATAGATAGTTTTAGATAACTCCTAAATCTATTAGATAAACACAACTTTAAATATTTCCTAATTATTCTTCTTTTCCTAATCACAACTCAAATAGGAAAGGGTAACTTGCTCTTCAAGTCTTCTTCTTCTTCAAGCTTATTTCAACATTCTCCCCTTTAAGCTTGAAGTCTTCTTTGATCACCTCCTGTACTCCAATGAGATCTCTCATCTCTTTAATTTTGACTCTTCCTAATGCTTTGGTTAGGCTATCTGCCTTCTGTTCAGTTCCGGGAACATGTTCTACGCGTACTTGCTCATTCTCTACACATTCTCGGATGAAATGATACTTTCTATGAATGTGTTTACTTCGACTATGGAACACTGGGTTCCTTGTGAGTGTGATCGCCGATTTATAGTCAATCCTGACCGTTACTTTCTTGCACTCTGAACCTGTTACTTCACTTAAGAGTTCTTGTAGCCATATTGCTTTGTTAGCAGCTTCTGTAGCTGCCATGAACTCTGCTTCGCAGGAAGATAGCGCCACAGTCTCCTGCTTTTGTGAGCACCAAGTGATAGGACACTCATTCAAGTAGAATATGTGACCAGTTGTGCTCTTTCTGTCGTCTGAATCCACATTGTGGCTGCTATCACTATAGCCCACAAGGTTTGTAGCATTACCACGTCTAAACATCAGACCATGCGCAAGAGTTCCTCGCAGATACCTAAGGACCTGTTTTAACGCCGCTCCATGACACCTTTTAGGTTCCTGCATGTACCTGCTTAACACACCAACTGCAAAAGAGAGATCTGGTCTTGTGTGTAGCGAATACCTCAGGCAACCAATGTTTCTTCTAAATTCTTTCTCACCGATTTTCTGTTCTTCGAGAGCTTTAGATAGTTTTAAACCAGAGTCCATTGGAGTTTGTACTGCATTACATTCAATCATCTTTGCTTCTTCCAAGATTCTCGTCGCGTACCTCTCCTGATTAAGTGTAATGCCGTCTTTGTGTTGACAGACTTCAATGCCTAAGTAATAAGTAAGCTTTCTGAGGTCACTCATGTCGAATTTCTTTGACATTCCTTGTTTGAACTCGATTATAAGATTCAGACTCGACCCTGTGACAAGTAAATCATCAACGTATACAGCCACCAGGAGGAGTTGATCTCTTTCTCTCTTCCGATATAGCGAAGCTTCCTTAGAAAACTTAATGAAATTCAACTCCTTAAGAATTTCATTAAGCTTGTTGTTCCAAGCTCTTGGTGCTTGTCTTAGTCCATAATGCCTTGTGTAGCTTGTAAACCTTTCCTTCACTTCCTTTAATCACAAAACCCTCAGGTTGTGAAACATATACTTCTTCTTTTAGTTCTCCATGCAGGAATTCTGTTTTTACATCCAGATGATGTACCTCCCAACCGCTAGAGGCTGCTAAAGCGATAATGAACCTGACTGTTTCTATACGAGCCACATGAGCAAATACTTCTTCAAAATCAATTCCATGCTTTTGCACATAGCCTTTTGCGACTAGTCTAGCTTTGTACTTGTTTATACTCCCATCTGAGTTGCGTTTGATTTTAAATACCCACTTTAATCTGATTGGCCTTGCTCCTGTGGGAAGATCAACCAAGCTCCAAGTTCTGTTTTTGGTGATGGAAGCTAACTCTTCTTCACATGCATATCTCCATACCTTTAACTCATTTGCTTCACCAAAGTCCCAAGGTTCTTCATCTATTACTAGGAGTAGATGCTCACCATCGATTTCGGCTAAGGTGAAAAAGTCATCAAGATAAGCTGGTCTTACTCTTGGCCTTGTCGATCTCCTTAATCCCTGCTCGGCTTATCGCCTCTGTTTCGGCTTTGGGAACCTGTAACTCATGTTCAGTGACTTCTTGATCGGAACTCTCTTCCTCTTTCTCCTCTGTTTCTTCTTCGATATCATGATCATCTCCCCTTGAGTTATTATAAACTTGTTCTCCAAAGTCGATTACAGAAGTTCCAATACCGGTTTCGTTTTCACTCCACTTCCAGCTTTTGCTCTCATCAAATATCACATCCCTGCTCACAACTATTTTCTTGGTTCTAGGATCAACTAACCGATAAGCCTTTGATCCTGGTTCTGTTCCTAGGTGAACTAGTATCCGTGATCTATCATCCAGCTTCTTCAAGTGTGGAGCCTCTGTTTTAGCAAAACTGATACATCCGAATACTCTCAGATGCTGTACATTCGGCTTCTTCCTCTTGTACGCCTTATATGGTGTTTGCGCGACTAAAGTTCTTGTGCCAACTTTATTTATGAGGTAAGTAGCATGTCGCACTGCTTCTCCCCATAAATAGTTTGGTACGTTCATGTGCTTTATTATGCTCCGAGTCATCTCCAACAAAGTTCTATTACGTCTTTCTACAACTCCATTCTGTTGAGGAGAATAAGGAGCAGTTAAGTGCCTCTTGATCCCAGAAGTTTCACAAAAATCCTGAAAATCTTGAGACATAAACTCTCTACCCCTGTCTGTCCTAAACGTCTTTATGGTAGCTCCTGTTTCATGTTCAACTTGAGCTTGAAACCTTTTGAACTTGCTGAAAGCTTCTCTTTTCTCTTTTAGGAGCAGAGTCCACATATACCGAGAATAATCGTCGATCAGTACAAAGATGTAGCGATTCTGTGCTGCAGTAGATGGTGTGATTGGACCACACAAGTCTCCATGTATAAGTTCTAGTATGTGTGTGGCACGATATTGTGTTGCTTGAGGAAACACTTTTCTGATTTGCTTTCCAAGTAAACAGGATGCAGACGTCTTTTTCTCTATCGATATTCTTGGTATACCAATGACCACCTCTTTGTTGATCATTGTCTTCATCGTTTCTAGCCCAATGTGCCCTAACCGAGCATGCCACTTCGTTGACTCAATTAATGTCATCAACTGCAGACACTTCATGTTTTCCACTTCCATTAATACCTTATACAATCGATTCTTTGATCTGTTAGCCTTCACTAGTAGCTTTCCATCGAGATCAAACAAAGTTAGGTAGTCCTCTTTCATTCTAACTTGACATCCCGATTCTGTAGCTTGCCCAAGGCTGATAATGTTGCTTTTTAAATCGGGTATGAAGTAGACATCAGCTAGTATCTTGCGCTCACCGTCTTTGGTTATGAACAGAATCGAACCTTTCCCCTTTACATCGATTCTGGAATCATCGCCGAATCTCACTTTTCCCATGATATTTTCATCAATTTTGTGGAAATATTTGCGATTTCCAGTCATGTGGTTGCTTGCACCGCTGTCCAGATGCCAGACATTATCCCCATCTAAAGATGTTTCGAATCTGCTTGGTTTCACACTCTTCTCGTTAAGATACACCACTTCGTGCATCAATAACTCCTCAGCTTCATGTGTGTCATCTTCATCAACTCCTTCTTGAGTTTCTTGAAGTTTAAGCAATTGGTCTGGACAAACATATGCATAGTGACCTGTCTTGTCACATTGATAGCACACCACCTTGGATATGTCCTGATTTTTTCTGTACCCACCATTATGTTGGTTGTTGTAGTTCCCGAACCTTTCACGGCCTCTTCCGCGTCTGGAAAAACGACCACCTCGGCCCCTGCCTCTGCCGGAACCATTGTTATCTTGAGTATCTGCATTAGCGTACATAAGTTTGCTTTACTCATCTTTCTCGTCTTCTTCTCCAAAGATTCTTTCTTCATAAGCTATTAGCTTTCCTACTATATCCTCAAAAGTGGTTGTCTTGAGATCCAAAAACTTGTTCAAGTGCTGCAACGATGTGTATGTATCTAGTGCGTGGCAGACTTTTCAGAAATTTCTTGACCAGTTTTGGTTCTTCAATGGCTTCTCCCAAAGCAGATGATTTTGAGGATAACTCTGTCAGTTTTCCAACAAAATCATCGATTGTGTCTGTCTCCTTCATCTGCATCCTATCGAATTCAGACATCAATGTTTGTAATCTTGCTTCTCTCACCCTTTCGGCTCCCATGTTCCTTGTTTAAATTGCGTCCCACACGGCTTTGGCTGTCTCGAGGTTTCTGACTTGGAGTGTTAATGACTCGGGTATGGATTTGATAACACCGGATTTTGACCATTTTTATGGATCACTTTAATATATTTTACAGGTGTTTTTACTCCATTTTCAAAGGTTTTCAAAGGATTTCTATGTTTCCGGATTTTAAAAGACTTTTCAGGTAATTTGGGATAAAGAGGCACAAATTGGAACAAAAAGACTCTTTAGGATAAATGCAGACCGTCAGAACTCTCATGGAGAGACGAACACCTTCTCACCGTCTGATCACCCTCACAATTGGACAACTTATAGAAGAATCAACCAGCTTTCAAATGCACTTGGTTTGGAGACATTCCAACTGTTGGATCTCAAGATATTCCATTAGCCCCGGAGCCACTCGAAGACGGCCAGCAAGTCACGCGACCGCGGCCAACAGCCTATTTCCCGTGGTCAGAAGCCTCTCGATCGCGGCCAACCACCAAATCCCCGCGGTCACGTCACTCCCGACCGCAGCCATCAAGCTTCGAATTAAAGCCCATATTTCTGAAGCCCAAAGTCATCCTCAGCCTCAATTCCAAAACCCTAGAGACCATGGAGTATTGACGACTATAAATACTTGTCATTTAGGTCGTTTTTAGGGAGAACCCTTCATACTTTAGAGAAACCCTTTTCCTTTAGCCGTTTTTATGTGATTTTTGTAGAAGATTGTTCAAGTTCGAGTTCTTCAATAGAGAAGCTTTCTTCATCTCTTTTCTTTACTGTTTTTCATTACTTTTATTAAAACCAATGATGATGTCGACCTCAGCCATGTCTGAGTAGATCCCTAGTTGGGCTTAGGTTTCCCGAAAGGGGCTCTCATAATCGATTAAGACATCTAAGTTTATAGATCTGGGATTTCGACCTGTTCTCTGTTTATTCTTGTTCTTATTGCATGTATGCTTGATTGATCACCTAGTATCTGATCTAGATAGTTAGTGTTGCGAAAGTTTTCATTAAGTATCAGCCCTAGAATGAAACATGTGATTTTTCCGTAGGAGTGGAAACCTACCTGCAGCGAGATCGTGAGTATTGACGAGTCTTGTGCAGCTCTTGCGTTCTCTCCCTTCTAGGGCCAGAGTGGAAACCTACTGATCAGGGTTGCGAGAAACAGTTGGTTATGATCACGACAGTGACGTAGTCATACCGCCGTACTCTAGCTCTAGAACCACCTATATTTCGATATCCGTCAATCCCAATCTATCTACCTTAGTATCAAAACCGATTATGATTCCTTAGAGTTCCCGAAAGCTCAGCGTTTTTAGCCATAGTTTACAAACCAATCGATTTTTATTTGCTTATTTAGATCTGCATTTTAATTACATTAGTTCGATATTTACTTGCTTTACTTGGTTTCTATTCGATTTTTCTACTTGCTTTCTAGGATAGATTTATTTGCTTTCTTTAAGTTTTAGTTGAATTCGTGGCAAACAACCAACCTTTAAATCCAATCTAGTCTAGACATAAAGTTAAAAACTGTAGAAGAATACCAGGCACACAAATCTCTGTGGATTCGATCCCTAAATACTACAACTGAGTAGCTGTGCACTTGCGACTTTTATTTGTTTTTGTTAAGGGTAAAACTTGTTCCCTCACGCAGTTGACACGGCATCAGGATTGAAACAGAAGTGCCTTCGCAAGATCGTCTTTGTGTTTATCCTTGGTTCCTGGTTCAATGACTTCCCAAGTTTTGTGTACCTTGAGTGCAACCGTCATACGTATAGCCCATACTGTGTAGTTAGTGGCGGTAAGCATTGGGCATTGTACGGTTGAAGGAACACTATCTTTAGCTTTGCTCATCGTTGCAGGAACTATATCGCCCATCTTTGAGTTTCGTTAATGTATAACGCCTCGTCGATGAAGTTGATGAATTCGCTAGTCTCGTTGCTTGTGTAACTAAACCCTATGATCGATTTAGCTCTGCTACCAATTATTGTTTGAATGCTCAAGATCAAGGTTTATAAAAGCTCTTCTTTTATTGCTCTAGGAAAATAACTCAAAACCTAAAGCCCTTAATCTCATAAGTTGTGCTACAACTCAGCACCTCCTTATATAGTAGTTTTAGATAACTCCTAAATCTATTAGATAAACACAACTTTAAATATTTCCTAATTATTCTTCTTTTCGTAATCACAACTCAAATAGGAACGGGTAACTTGCTCTTCAAGTCTTCTTCTTCTTCAAGCTTATTTCAACAGTTGTTACTTTGGGCTTTTAGAATAACTGATGGCTCACCATGCATGATACGGCCGAAGTCAAGTGTTCACAAATGAATGGAAAACTTCTCTTTCCACATTTCAAAGATTTTTTGTCTGTCTTTGTAATAGTAGAGATTTTGTGGGTCTTTGTAACAGTAGAGATTTTGTGGGTCTTTGTAATAGTCTCTTGGATTACTAGACTAAAATCTCTAATTTTGATCGTTAGATCATTTGATCTTTCACCGGCCATTATAGAGATTACTTTCCTTCATTAGCAAATCAATAGAAAAACATTCTCCATTTTCAATTTGGTTATGATTCTCTCTAAAGGGAAAAGTCAAGATGGTAATATTATTTTTAAAGTTGTGTTTATTGGATTTTTCATTTCATTCTCTTTGTAAAACCTAATGTCTCAAGTTTTTCTCAAGCTACATAATTTTAGAACCTAGATAGGAGAGAAAAGTGTAGATCCCTCTGCAATGGCTTAGTCTTTTACACCAACATCTCTACATTTTCTACTAATCCAAAACTTGTGGACCAAAACTTACAGAAGAAAATAAATTAATAAATAAGAATATATAATTAGAGCTGAGCAAAAAGAAATAAAAATATATATCCTCATTTCTTGGCGTGTTCAACCTCTTTCCCAAGCGTTACTACACGTAAAAGCATTTTACCTTAACTTCTTAAGCATACGATTCACCAATATCACACACAACACAAATTGAAAACTTTAATACATATATAAGTTTGTTGCTATGAATTTTCAGTATCTTGATTTCAAGAAACGAATTCGATATGTATCTGATTCGGAGAATGCAGAGCGGAGGTTACGCGGTATATAGGCAAGGACTTGCGGAGGTTTTACAAATTTACAACAAGGTTGAGAGGAAGACATCTATGAATCCATGTCCAACGATTCTTCGATTGGGAAGAGACTATAGTAACCAAAGGAGTCCACAAGGTCTGAAGTTATTAAATCCGGTTAATGCTGGGAAATACTTAAGTAATGGTTCCAACAACTCTAAGTTCCAATCATCTCCTCCAAAACCATGGTTAAATGTTCCTTCTTGGTACTAATTCTATTTCTCTCTCTCTGTATTTTCGATCTATAGATTCCCGAAAAATCTAACTATCCACATCGAATAATACAATATGTAGTTTATGAGATTATGATATACAGACAGTTTTGCATTAAAATAGGATCAAGATAGATAATTCAATTCGTAGTAGATTAAACAGAAACTTTTCTTTGGACTAATTTGGATTCTAACAAGCAGGGGAAGATGGCTCATAGGTTCTACGATTTCCTTAGTGTTATCTTTCTGGAACAATAAAAGAATGCAGAAACTGAAACGTATCGACGGTAATGAATGTAGTATCATCTCATCTCATCTCATCAATCTTGTATGCACTACTCATCTCTTTTATGGGCTTATTTTACTTTCATCTCTTTTATTTTCATTTGTAAAAAGTACTCGAAAAACATTATTTGTTAATGACATTTGTCGTGATATGAAAACATTCTTCAAAAAGTTTAAGTAAAACGAAGGCGTGCAAAATAGATCATTTCTGTTAGCCTAAGAAACGAGAATAAATTTGAATTATGTGATGCAGGAGAGGCAGAATTGGCTGTGGAAGGGGTAGAGGCTGTAGCAGAAATGGTGGAAAAAGTTGCTACGGCGACTGAGACAATGGCTGAAGAAATGACAGAGAAACTGCCTGAGAAAAGTAAATTTAAACAGATGGCTTTGGTTCTGGAACACATTTCAGAGGTTGCTGCTCATGAGGCACATATAACCGAAGATTTCCTTCACAAGGTACCTTTTAATCATTTAGATTGATATATGAAATACTTATAAATCTTACTAAAATGTAACACTATTAACACTAAAAAAGGTGGATTTCCAAAAGTAAAATATCCAGTCTCTTAATATATCTTATGCTTTTTAGGTACGTTTTGGAACAAAAAAAAAAACATATACATAAATTTTCTTATTGTGATTTAAAACATCAACATTTCCAAAACTGCAGGTGGAAAAAGTCACGCAAGATTTGGATGACTTGGAGACAATGATAAAGCCTTTGGTAGACAAAATTGTGGCAAATGCAGAAACAAAGCAACAAGGTGAAGGAGAAGAAGCAAACCCTGAGTCGCCTTCACGCCACTAATCTCTTCGTCATCTAATTTGGACGCAAACAAAGAATTCTTCAAAACTGTATCTGTATTAATTCATTAACAATTTTCATTCTTTTAGTCAAGAGATTATAACTGGCTTTGATTGGTAATCCTTCATCACCACAGTAACATTACAGGTGTACCGTTTTGATGGTTACCGGTAACAAAAGCGAGAAGAATTAACAGTATCAAAAACGGTACCACAATTCTATGCCAGTTTCTAATAGCCTTTACAAAAACTATTAATATAGAACTCTTCTAATAGCCTGAAAATTTCATTTATCAAATCTAAAAGTAAAACTCAGTTATCACACTATTTATAGCCTAAGACTCAATAATTAATATAAAACTTTAACTCAATAATCAGCATAAAACTCAATTATCACAATCTAATAGCCTTTTCAAAAACAATTGGATTACTAATTCATGACTCAACAACCTATATCCCTTGATTTACTCGAAGAATCCTCCAAATATTCAGAGAATTTTAAGTGAAAATTTTGAGATATCAACAGAGAAATACAATTATTCAGTTCAAAATCCACCAGGAAAAAATGATTTAAAAGTCACCATCACATCTCATATGAAATGAATAAACATCGCTGACAATCAACAAATCGTACCAAGAGAGATCTAGAATCTAACGGTGGTGGGGCCAAAGCAACTAAGGCCCATAACTCTCTCCATGGAAGCTTCGGATTTAGGAGTAGGATTGTCTCTGACGAAATCAGCCGAAGAAGAAGAAGATGATGATGATGATGCGGGGGAAGGTGTACGGGAGGTTACAGCGATGGCACGGAGACGAGGCTTGACATCTTTGTTGAAAAAACGAACGGGATAATTCCAGCGAGCCTCCACGGCGGCGATGGCCGTCGCCACTATCCACGGGGTTTGCCTTGCGGTTGCAGCAGCGCTCATCGGTATAATGATGAGTGAAATAAGAGAATATGCGTTAGCCGTAGACTCTTAGGTTTTGCAGAGGGTTGTTTCTCCGCTTCTCCAAGTAAATGAGATAATATGTAGACAAATATTTGATCTGGGGCATAATATGTTTTTGTATAAATTTTAGGAGAATAACTATAAAGTTTTAAAAGTTTTTATTTAGCATACTAGATTTTGTGTCCTTATATATTAATATTTGAATAATATATTAAAAATATTAATATAAATTGTGAGATTTTAACGATTTTGTTTTAAATTTATATAAAATATGTCAGATTTCAAAAACGTATTATTTGGTCAAATACTTATAAGTTAATATAATCAAACCAACTAAAAAATATTATAAATTAATCAAATGATAAATTAATATTTTATTTTTTAGTTTTTTTTAAAACATAGTATTGACATGATGATAAAATATTATACATTAAAAAACATAGTATTGACATGATGATAAAATATTAGAAAATTTTTGAAATCGCCCTTAGCTAGAAGAGTGAAGCGACCTGGTGAGGGTGAAGCAGGTCCGAGCAATGTAGTCACTCGAAATGAAACTCTCTCCCAAAACTCGCAGCCTCCACCGGCTCAGATCATCCCAAAAATCAAGAGGAAGAAGATGGATTTTCACACTCCATCTGATCTGGCCGGACCGATCAATTTGGATGCTCATGTCTAATTTTTTAAAATATGCTTTTTATAATTTTTTTTCAAAATTAAAATAATAAAAAAAGAAACAAAAAATTCATAAAATAATCAAACTCCATAAACTGTTTGTAAAAAAAGAAAAAAGATCCAAGAAAACATATAGTTTATTGCTGAAATATTGATCTTTTTACATTTTTCCGTGCAAAATCGTTCATTAAACTATCGTAGTTGAATTTTTCAACTATAGTTGTCCCAAAAGTTTGTTCATACTTTTGGAACTGTTCAAACCTGGACTCGAGAGAAACTAGATCTTGATCCCTAATAAAACAAATTTTAACCAAAAATATGCCCTTTTATAATGGATCCCGCAAAAAAATATGCCCTTTTATAGTGGAGGCCTGTGGCGGTCACCTCCCTCGCCCGCCTTCAAGGTCGGGCCTGTATGCGATTGTAAATGGGATGTTTGTTTTACTAAGCTTCAGGTTTTAAATTTATAACTCCTAAATGTCTGCAATGGCACAGATGTGCGCTGTAGTACTTAGGGTATCGATCCACAGAGACTTAGTTATTTCAGTATGAATTCATGCTAATGCTTAAATCAGATTAGAACTAGACAATTTTGGGTTTTGGTTTTGGTTGTCACTAAATCTAAACTAGAAAGCAAGTAAAGATCAATTGAAAATGAAAGCAAGTGAAAACAAGTAAAAATCAAATAAAAATAGAAGGCTGTAAATAATGGAAAACAAACGTTGGGCTCAAGGGTATCGCAGGGATTCATGGACTAAACCTATGACAGAAATATGTGATAAAGGTAATCGACTACGTATGTTCTAGAACTCGAGGTACGGAAGTATGAATAGCCTACATTCACAGCACTAAACAACTATCTCTCGTAACCCTGACCAGTAGGTCTCCACTCTGATCTTGTAAGGGAGTAGATGCAATAGTTTGAACAAGAATCATCAACATTCTCAACTCATCTATAGGTAGGTTTCCACTCCTATAAAATAATTGCTCGTTTCACCCTAGGTCAGACAATCAATGAAAGCTTTTGCAACAAATCTTATCTAGATCGAATTCTAATTGGTTTAGTAGAGAATCACGCAGTAAGATTAAAGGTAAACGAAGAACAGCTAGAAGATTATAATTCCTAAATCTAGCGATTCATAAAAAAAGACATACAAAATTCCCTTTGAAAAATTCCGTTAATCCCAACTAGGAAACTACTCAAACATATTGTAAACAAGCATCACAAAGTATTGAAAGTTTCTGGAAATTAAAAAAAAAACAGGGAAGAAGAGCGAAGAAATGAGTTGCAGATGGAGGCGTGATGATGGTTTCCCTTGTCGGCTCCTTCTTCGAAGACGACAACTCTCTCTAGGGTTTTTGTAAAACTCGTACACAGACTCTCTACACCTTTATGAATAACCTAAAGGGGGTATTTATAGCTTCTAGAGTTGTCTGGACACTTAGAGCATGATTATTGCTATTACCTCTAATGAGTTTCTTATGATTATTTAATGAATTGATTTGTGGCAAGAAACTATTAAAAGAAACCATGTTTTTAATGGTCCATTGGGAGAAACTTACATGGGTTTCTTGTAACAAAAAAAAATTATGTTTTTTTTTAATGAAAATAAAGATAATTAATTAGATTATTACATTATTAAACCAAAAACAACAGAAACAACAGAAACATACATTTGAAATGTAAACTTAAATATTGCAATAAAAACTTAATTGTCGACTTCAGTACGTCCTAAATTTTTGCCAGATATGCTCCAGCAAATCAGCTTGCAAACGATCATGCCGTGGTTTATCCCGAATTATCATTTCGAATACCCATCATATCAGCAATGTTTGAGGGCATATCTGTTGAATATGAGAGATCCACAATTGAACTTCCGCTTCCTTCTCCATGTTCAAAATCTGAAAGATCAAAATGTCTGTATCCATCTCGTTCGTCTTCTACTATCATATTATGGAGTATGATACAAGCTCTCATAATCTTCCCTATTTTTTTTTTATCCCAAAAAGAGCGGGATTTTTAACAACGACAAATCAAGCCTGTAAGACTCCAAAAGCACGTTCGACATCTTTTCGGTAGCCTTCCTTACGTTCAGCAAATAAGCATGACTTTGGATCTTGTGGAGCTGGTATAGATTGGACAAAAGCTGCCCATTTTGGATAGATACCATCTGTGAGATAGTATGCTAACTTATACTCCCTTCCGTTGACATAAAATTCACTCTCGGAACTTTACCTTGTATTATGTCATCAAAAACGGGTGAGCGATCAAGAACATTGAGATCATTTAATGTACCCGGGGGTCCAAAAAAGGCATGCCATAACCACAAATCATATGAAGCTACTGCCTCTAGAACGATAGTGGGTTTTCCTGAACCACGTGTATACTGGCATTTCCAAGCGGTTGGACAATTCTTCCACTCCCAATGCATACAGTCGATGCTTCCTATCATTCCAGGAAATCCCCGTTGCTCTCCAATATGAGGTAACCGTTGAAGATCCTCTGGGGTGGGTCTTCTTAAGTACTCATCACCGAACAAATCTACAATTCCTTCTACAAAATGTTCCAAACATGCACGAGCGGTTGTTTCACCTAGACGGAGGTATTCGTTAACCGTATCAGCCGCAGTGCCATATGCCAAAAGACGAATGGCAGCTGTACACTTCTGAAGCGGTGAGAGACCAGGCCTTCTGATGCGAGCAAAAGCGGGGTTTGTTGTTTTTTGTTTACTTAGCTTCAGGTTTTAAATTTATAACCCCTAAATGTCTGCAAGTGCACAGATGTGCGCTGTAGTACTTAGGGTATCGATCCACAGAGACTTAGTTGTTTCAGTACGAATTCACTGCAACGCTTAAATCAGATTAGAACTAAAAAGGTTTTGGTTTTGGTTTTGGGTTTTGGTTGTCACTAAATCTAAACTAGAAAGCAAATAAAACAAAAGCAATTGAAGGCAATTAAAACAAGTAAAAAGCGATTAAACTAAGGCTAATGAAAGCAGGTAATAAGCGAATAAATCAAAGACAAATTGAAAGCAGGAAAAATCGAATAAGAAGCAAAGGTTGTACGCAATTAAAGATAAACGTTGGGGCTCAAGGGTATTTCGCAGGGGTTCATGGACTAAGCTATGTCGATTTTAAACAAGTGATAAAGGTAATCAACTACGTATGTTCTAGAACTCGAGGCACGGAAGTATGAATAGCCTACTTTCGCAGCACTAAACAACTATCTCTCGCAACCCTAATCAGTAGGTTTCCACTCTGATTCTGGAAGGGAGAAGATGCAATAGCAGAACAAGACTCATCAACATTCACAACTCAACTACAGGTAGGTTTCCACTCCTATAGAAGAATTGCTCGTTTCACCCTAGTTCAGACAATCAATGAAAGCTTTCGCAACATATCATATCAGATCGGCTTCTAAGTGGCCAGCAAAGAATCACGCAGTAAGATTAAAGGCAAACAAAGAACATCTAAAAGA